ACGCCCACAGAAGAAAATCTCTAGAGATTTTCTTCTGTGGGCGTTGCATTTTATTATAGATATTTTTTGTATGAGATTATTGTTATTGCGTAACCGACTGTTATCTTTGACCGAATCACTTGGCAGATAACTACTCTCCTATATATATTCTACAGGAGAAAAATAAATCTCGCAGCGGCTCGCCGGCAAGGGACGAAGTCAGCGGCGAAGTTGGTGATGATGGTGGTGAGGGGACCGGTGGAGAAGACGAGGGCGCCGGCACAGATCTCGAACATGATCCTAACGAGACAATGGAGGACTATGAGGCTGCACTCGATACCGAAACGTAAGCTCTCTCATAACGCAGTGGGAGTTGTAATATAATGATGTGCGTTATTACATTAACGAGATTGGAGTGCATTATTACATACCTCTCCTTATGCAATATTATTGTGATCTCAAAGCTGAAGGGGATTCGCAAGAGTCAATAACTACGGTTTAGTTAAGGGCACGCAGTGCGTAATTCGTTATTGCAATATATTTTATTTTTCGTCTTCAAATCGAATTCATTAGAGAGCTAGTGGTATTAATTAAATTGTTGTCTTTATATATATCAAGTATTAATTTCTCAAGATAATGAAGATAATTTCTGAAGAACTTTAGCTTTTTTTTTCTTAAGAAGTATTGATAGTGTCCTTTATTTTAACAATTATTTTTCTATGTTCTATAAATTTCTGAAGAATAAGAAATAACAAATTCACAAAAAGATATCTATTTTGAAAAAGTAAATTTAAAATGTAATTTATATATCACTAATTATGCAGATCAGAGAAAAGTGAAGATATGAATACGCATAAAGTGCGACTCAACGTTGAGTCCGACGAAGAAGTTGAAGAAGAGGAAGAAGAGGAAGACGAGCCAGAAGAAATGCAAGGTTAATTAACCTCATTTTTCTATGTTTCAGAAACTAATGATTAAAAATTGTATGACTTTTTCAAGCTCTCGATATTCCAATTACAAGACAGAAGCAAATAAAATAAAATTAAATAGAACAGTAAAGATTAAATAAGGGATTAATTACTTTTACAGATGAGGAGCAGGAAGTGACAGCTAGACCGCGAAGAATGTCCGAGTACAATACGGCCACCAAGAAGGAACCGATCCCGGCTGGTTCGGCATTCTTTATTTTTTCAAGCACTAATAGGTACAGAAACTTTTTGAACTTTTTTCGTTTCAGCGGCCAAGATAAAACATAAAGAATAATTTAATTAAACTTTCCCTATCTTTTCATTTCTTGGATGTATTTTTACTAGAAGCCACATTAAATTAAATTCCTTTTCAATCGCGTTTTGCAGGTTTCGTGTGTTCTGCCACTGGTTCTGCAATCATAATTATTTCAGCAACGTGATACTGATTTGCATTATGATTTCCTCTGCCATGTTGGCCGCCGAAGACCCACTGTCAACCACGTCTGAGAGAAATCAGGTATCCGATTGCGCCGAAAGACAAATTGATTTCTTAGTTGTTAAAATATCTGTTTTATCTGTTTTAACAAAACTATCGAAATAATTGTTTATGTAATAGCTAACGAAACTGATGTATACTTTATGTTACAGATATTGAATTGCTTTGACTACTTCTTCACTGCTATTTTCACAATCGAAATCTGCCTTAAAATGATTTCATATGGCTTCATTATCCATGAAGGCGCGTTTTGTCGATCAGCTTTCAATTTGCTCGATCTTCTCGTCGTTTGCGCTTCTCTCGTTTCCATGACAGTCAAGTATGATCTTATTTTTTATATTAATATTCTGACATTATCTAATCTTGTGAAATGAAAAAAGAATAAAAAAATCTTTTACAACATTTTAATTAATTACAATTTTAATCGCGCAATTTTTCATTGTACAAAAAAAAATCTGTAAATGGTGTCATTAGATTCAGAAGCAGAGTTTCGTTAAAAAAAAGTTTAACTGCCTAGATTATTATTATTTTTTGTTACTTCTAATTTTCTATTGACTAATTTAGTATACTGTTATTTATTGTATACTTGCAGAGCTGGCGCATTTTCTTTCATCAAAGTGCTCCGAGTGCTCCGTGTACTGAGGCCGCTACGTGCCATTAATCGCGCTAAAGGATTGAAGGTATCTTTTTCATTTGTTTCACCTATTTCTAAGTCCGCTAAAAACCGCCCAATTCACAGCATAAGCCCTATCGTAATAATGCCAGAGGCATAATACCGTAATGTCCATAGCTAGCTAGATTAAAAGAGTCGCTCTCGTTAGCCCGACGTTGAAACATACGCGAAGTTACAATTATTCATACAAATGGTGGAAGGGCGCCGTTAACTTCGGAAGACGTTAAAAGTGAAACGAGATATTTCGTCTTCGCTACATATATATTAAGAATTTTTGTTACGCGAGAGTCAATGCGTGATAACCATCATTATGCGAAAAATTTGTTTATCAAGGTCGACACAAATACATTATTTATCATTATTTCTCTTAGCTAATATAAAATTAATACAATGTTATTAAATCTACGTAAATTTCTCCATTACATTGCAAAAAGATATTTAAGAAACGTACTTTTAGTTTTAATTAAGAAATTCATTTCGCTTTATCTCTTTAGAATATTAACAAAGATTCTCAGATTCTGTTGACTCTTCACGAAGAGACCATTTTCGATTTGATAAAGCTACACGAATTTGGCGGCAATAAAATGCTAATGTTAAAGTTCGCTATGAACAAATGCGACGCGTAATTTTCACCTCTTTATCACGAAGGGCGATTATATATTGTGATTAATATTGTGAACCCAGCACGTAGTACAGTGCGTCATCGTAGCGGTAAAGACTATCGGAAACATAGTCCTCGTCACCAGCCTCCTGCAGTTCGTGTTCGCCGTCATTGGCGTACAGCTCTTTAAGGTAGGATTATCGGGCCCCGATACCAACATGGCCCCGAGAAAACTCCTCCGAACCTCTTACAGTTATACACTAGAGTGGCAGTAATATATTACCAGTCGACCCCACAAACACCCCAAAAAAACCTTCTTAAAATCTCAGCCTTAAATCCACTTCTCTTTTTCTCTCTTTCTCTCTTTTTCTCTCTTTCTCTTTTTCAAAATCCGTTTTCAGCATTTGTTCATTCGTTTATCCACATATTTCTTAATGCAAGCAGCTAGAAATTTAATTCAGCATCACCAAATTCATCACTACTATTACGACTACTGTTAACCTCAGTACGCCTTTGCTCGACATCTCGATAACTTCTTCGACGATTATTTCCGCCTTGTTGCAATAAACACGTAGTCGTAGAGATCGCGATTAATTTAAAAGTGATTAAAGTCATGAGAATCCTTGTTTAAGTATTCTTGATGGAAAAACGCGACTGGAAAAAGATTCCCCAATATTGTTTTTCCAGAAAAACATTAATCAAGAATAATGGCACGTGTTTAAGCTTTTGCTTTATAATTTGATTAAATTTACTTATCATCGATAATTATGTGTTTTCCATATTAAGTTTCTGCACTGCTCCTTGGATTTTATAGATTTTCATCACAAATTTTTAAAAACACGCGCACGAGATTTTAATCACCGTTTTGCGCACTCGATACACATGTGTGAATCTGTTTATACTTTGTACTTTGAGTACGTTTTATCAATGATTATCGCAGAAGGTTTTCATAGAAAATCTATTTCGCTAATACGATATCGATATGAATTGCGTGAATGAAGCGAAGTTGCGGAATTAACGAACGCATCATCCAATTAGGAGAAACATCCATGTGTCAATCTCCGATATTACGGTCGATGCGCGTAGCGACACGTGGAAAATAATCGTCGAGAGGCGTGAGCATGAGGCGAATGTTGTTTTCTCTGACAGATGCACCTCTGGGTACCTCCCCTGTGAAATAAATTGTCTTTTGCGTGTTACTTACTCATAATTGGGTTACTTGTCTCGACACTCTCTCCCCGAAGCCTTTCTAGGATCATTGATTGTGTTTCATTGTTCCTACTATATATATAGATTTTTTTATATCAAAGTGTCCCATTTGTTGAAGGCCAATTTGATTGTTTGCCTTTATTATCCATCAATCAATTTTATATCGACGTAGCTCATTTAATATTCAATCTTGGATAGATTGGAGCGTTTATTTTGCCATTATGTTACTTCTTTAGATAATATATTTATAAAAATCTAGATCGATGTCTGTTTGAAATTGTGAATTGTCTTAGAAAATATTTTAAATGCAATATAACAGAGAAAAAAATCAATTTTTATTGATAGAAAGTGTTATGTATCCGATAAAATTTCTTTTATATTTGTTATAATTTTGAATAATCAGTTTCATTGAATTTTATTTTGCTGAATCAAGTATACACAGTCCAGACTAAGTACTTTAAAACTTTAGAAAAACATACGAGAGTGAATTTTATTTAAAATTTATCTGACACACTTTATTAAATTATTTACACATAATATCGCGTTTATATTTATAAATATAATAAAAATGACATATCTTTCTCTTTTTCTCTTTCTTTCTCTCGGATTTAGTGTAAAAACAGTTCTCATATGTATTAATATTTAACAATGTTATGTAAAGATAATCCATTGTTTTTTTGTCTGTATAGCATGATTTGATAATCCTAAATCGGGATAAAATTTTTCAACATATATGCATGTTATTGCGAACATTGAACGAAGATTTCAGAAATCATAGTACATTAAAAAATTAAAACGCTGTTTAAAAAAATTCTGTTTATGATAGTTTACGATAATTTAGTGAGGAAAAACCGCTGTTATTATTTCGTGAAAAATAAAACAGAAAAGAAAGACAAATATTGTTTTCGTCAAACTATTCTTATCTACAAAAATGAAAACAATTCGAGAA